TAGCCTAATATTTTTTCTTATATTTATACTTAGCATAATTTCTTATTTTTCTAAGTTCAAGACTATGCATAAGGGATACCTGCAAGGTGTTCTCTCAGAAATCAGAAGACAAATAATAAGCGCCATCTATACTTGAAATTTAATTATTTTCTTTATTAGAGTTTTATGAACATCTTGTTTAGATTGGGCGCCAGTAAAAAAAAGTAACAAAAGGGGTACCGGTTGGGGGGAGAATATCAGAAATTCGAGGAACTCAAAATGAAAATAGCTATGGACACCTGTATTCGAAGATCTGTTCGAATTGGTCACCTTTGGCCTTCAAACGGTCAATGAAACTGTCACACGCTGGCCGAATGTTGCTCTGCGGTATTTTGGCCCATTCCCGGCGAAGCGCTTGTTTGAGGTGATCGACACTTTGAATGCCAACCTGGCTTTCCAAAATACTCCAGACACAATAGTCCAACAGATTGGTATCCGGAAATTTTGGTGGCCATTGTGCGCTGGAAATGAATCGAGGAACCTCATTTGGTAACCATTTTTGGGTGGCGCGTGCTGAGTCCTGTTGGAATGCCAAAGGTCTGCGACCAAAATGTTTGCGTGCCCAAGGCTTTAATACAGCCTCCAGAATATTTTCACGATAATATTCGGCATTTATTCTGATGCCACGGTCGGTTAATACGAGCGGAGAGCGACCATCGGCTGTTATGGCGGCCCTCACCATTACCATTGCCGCCGTTGAGTTCTGGTGGCCAACCGAATGTCCATATTTTCAGCTGAACACTATGGCAAGTAAACACGTTTGTTTACAAACTGCTGGACAACGAATGTTTTTTCATCGGAGAAACCCAAATTCGGCAGTTCACCATTTTCGGCCAAGCAACTCTTTAGCTCGTTTGAGTCTATTTTCTTTCTGTTGCGGTGTAAGTTCTTGGACTTTTTGGAGTTTCAATGGCTTTACCCCGAGCTCATTTTTCAATATTTGCCGAATGGAATATTGCGATATGTTCAGCTCACGAGCCATTTTTCGGCCACTGGAGCACGGGTTTCGATCAAGTCGCTTCTTTACTTTTCGAACCATTTCTGCTGATGTTGCTGTTTTCTTCCGTCCACTTCCTTGACGTCGGGATACGCTACTAGTACAAGACACAAAATATTTATTAGCAATTAAATACTGGAGAGCTCTAACGATAGTCACTTGTGGTTTTCCAGCCAAATATAAAGAAATCACACTATCACGCTTGAATTCCATCACGAATAACTTTTTTTCTGGAAAATTCTTACCAAAATGCTTTTGCTTTGCTTTGTGAACAATATAATGAGCTGTCACTGGAATAATTTTAATAGCTGTCGGACGAGTGGCTTAGAAATGACAGCAGTCTGAAGTTCCTTGCAGTTTTTTCATCTTACCCTGTATATTCCCATTTTCTTTGCTTTATTCCCCTTTTCTCTCATTTTTTCCATTTTCTGAATTATCAAATGCAAATAATGAGTTCCCCAAAACAATTACGACACATTGTCTATGTGTCTCTTTGCATTTCGTTGTGATAAGAAATAATTTCGCACAATTGTTTATTTTAGTTTTAGTTTTCGTAAGGTCTTTAAACTCATTAATTATGTTGCTATATAAATAAATAAGTTTAAATATGAGTATTATTAAAAATAATACAAAATATTAAATACGGATTTTGACATTTTAAAATGACCGATAAGCTCGATTTCACTTTTGCGTTATTATTTGTTTTTTTTTTTTTTTTTTGACCAAAAAAACTTTGATTTTGTGAAGGAGTATTCTATTTTGAAATATGGGCTTCTAAAAAATTTTTTATTAGACTTCAATTAAAAGACGATTTAATTTTGAGAAAGAAATATGTTATAGTCAAATAATTCCTGTTTACTTTTTAAGAAAATTCCACAGATATTTGTAAAATTATCGCAGATATCCAATTTTGAAATTTGTTGATTTTTTTCCGCAACTATGTTCTAGGGCTCATAACTCTTAAGGTGATTGATATACTCTCACTAAGTGACTTGATTCTTAAATAGGAACATCTTATCATCAATTTAAAGAAATTTAGTTGATCTAGCTTGGATAATACCAGAGATATAGACAAACTTTTATGAGATAAGCAATTAAAAGTTTTCTTAAAAATTTTCCGTATTTATGTTCTATGGTCCATAACTTTCAAATTAATAGGTATATTGTTATAAAAGTATCATTGCTTTCGAAGAAGAGCATATATTCTTTGTATTTTTAAAAAGATTCGAATTTCTTATTGGGAAAAGACCGGAGATATTGGCCAAATTGTACCATACACCTTGTTATGCATTATTAAGAATTTTCTGGGTATTCATGTTCTTGGACCCATAACTTTCGAAGTAATTTGGATATTGCGTTAAATTATTATTGATTTGAGGGAGAGCATGCGATCTTTATATTTTTAAAAAGATTCCAGGTTCTAAATGAGAAAACACCGGAGATGTGAGGCAGAATTATACCAGACACCACATTATACAATATTTTCAGTTTTTTGAGTAACCCTGTTTTAATACGCATAACTTTGAAAGTATTGGAGTTATTTGGATGAAATAACTTGGGCTTAAGAGAAGAACATGTTGTCTTTTAATGGGTACAAGTTTTCCTGATCAAGCTAGGAAACTGTCGGAGATATCGGCACAATTATATGCCATACCCGATATTACAACTTTAGAATATTTCTGCGCACACATTTTCTAGGTGCAATAACTCTTGAAGTAGTTGTGATATTTTAATTAAATGACTTATTTTTTGAGAGAGGGAAGTTGTATCTTTAGATACGTATACGATTTGCCGATATATCCATAGTAATACAAGAGATATCGATAACATTAAATGAAGCACCCTGTTTTTGCATTTTTTGTGTATTCCTATTCGAAGGTCCAAAACATTTCAAGAAAAGGAGATATTTTGATAAAATAAATTTATTTCGAATAAGGAATATTTCATCTTTACGTGTGGTGCTCATTAAGTCCATATAACAATTGCAATTATAGAGTTATCGGCAAAATTGTATTGGGTACCCAATTTGTCAACTTTCGATATTTTTGGGTAAACATTTTCCATCTGCCATAAATTTTAAAGTAAAGAAGATTTTTTGTTTTAATGGCTCATTTTTCGGAAGATTGAAGTTGTCTCTTTAAAGTGGTATAAGTTTTATCGATCCAGCTAGGCAAATTCCAGAGATATCGACAAAATTGTACGAGTCACCCTGTTTTTGGAATATTTGCATTTTTTGTGTATTCGTATTAGGAGGTCCATAACTTTTGATGTAATTGAGTTATTCTAATGAAATAAATTATATTTAAGAGAGAAATATATTACTCTCAATTTGTGTACATTTAGTTTATATAACTATTGCAATACCAGAGATATCGGCAAAATTGTACGTGATACCCAATATTTCTTTTTTTCGATTTTTTTGCGTAAACATTTTCGAGGTACCATAACTTGTAAGATAATTTAAATATATTGTATTATTGACTTGTTTTTAGAGAGGTGGAAGTTGCTTCTTTAAATTAGTACAACTTTTACCCATAAAGCTGGAAAAATACCAGAGATATAGCCAACATTAAATGAGTCACCATTTATTTCATTGTTTTGCATTTTTTGTGTATCCATATTTGGAGGACCATAACTTTTGATGTAATTGAGATAATTTGATGGAATAAATTGTTTTTAGAAGAAGAATGCTAGATCCCTAACTGGTGCACGTGAAGACTACATAGCTGTTACAGTACTAGAGATATCGGCAAAATTGTATGTGACAAAAAATTGTATTATTTTTTTCACTTTTTCGGTAACCACATTCTAGGGGCTATAACTTTCTAAGTAGCGGAGATATTTTAGAAAAGTAATTAAATTTCAAGAAAAGAGTTTTATTTCTTTGCTTGAGTAAATTTTTGTTGGCCTAACTGGGAAAATGCAGAAGATATGGGCAATATAATTGAAGATAATAAATTTTGCAATATGTTAACTTTTTTCGGTTAAGATTTTCTAAAGGCCAACTTTTGAAGTTGTTGAGATATTTGGACGAAATAAATAGATTATGAGAGATAAACCTCTGATCTTGAAGTACTTAATATGTTTTGTTGTGATAGCTGTGAAAATTTCCAGAGATATCGTAAAAATTACAAAGTAACTTCAAATGAATTTTGTGTCAATTTTTTCGTCTTAGTTTTTCGGGGTCCATAACTTTTGAGGTAGTTTAGATATTTTAGTGAAATAAAAAGATTTTGAAAGGACAGAGACTACACTTCAAAGATGTGTAAAGATTTTTATTAAAGGAACCACCTCGGAGATTTTGTTGCCTCTATTATAATAGGTTCTAAATATGACTTGATTTACTTGTATTTATGACATGGTTGTATGGCAAAATATCAAAGCAGCTGGGCCACCTTTAAAGTACTTTTTGTTTTTGTATGTGTCATTTAGACCATCCTGCATTCTTCTTCTTCTTCTTAGTCATCGGAACTCTATATTGAATGGGAAACGATTTTTGACCTCAAATCCTATTTTTCTCGCATTGCAAAAATCATTCACTATGAACCCTCCTTAATATCAACTTCTATATGCAACTTTGTTTCTTTCTCAATTAAAATTTAAATGCATTATAATATTTTTGTTATTTTTATCTTGGCTTTGTTCTTTAACTCATCTCTCTCTGTCTTAAACGTTTGATGATGACAATTGCAATATGACTTCATCGCCTGGGTTATTATGACAGCTCTGAAAGAAACATAATTTCTCGTTAATGATATGCAATATAAATAAGAAGTAGGAGGAGGGGGGGATGGGAAACACATATAAACTCAACGCTTACTAATGCAATTCAATTAACGGCAAATGTCAAGAAACTTTTCAAGAAATCAAACAAAAAAACTCTGATCTGAACTGTAATTAAGAATCTCAAACCTGTTCCGACAAAAAACTGATAATATTCATATTATTTTTTTTATCTTTACAGTGTTGCCTGTTTATCAACAACGTAGCTATCATCACAACTTCAACATGGCTGATATCAATAATAAGCCCAAACTACAGATTCGCGCTGGCATTGCCGTAAATGGCGATAAAACCCCCTCTCCGGCCACCAAGTTGCTGATCAATCATGGCAAGCCAAATTTCACCATTCAACGTTCGCCCAAGGTACAAAATGGCAATGGCACGGTTATAAATGGCAACCCATTGTCACCACAGCCGGTGGCGCCCAAACAGGAATTTGTGGTAAAATCGACCACTTTCAATGGTGTCTTTAAGCCATCGAATGTTAGTCCTGTGGCCAAACCAGTTTTGTTAAAACAAAATGGTAACATTACCAACAACAACAACAACATCATTAGCAATAACAACAACAACAATGTCAATACCAATAACAACAACAATGATGATCATGAAATGAACAAGGTGGTGTTGCGACGCACCAAAGTCCCTGAACCCCCCATCAAGGAGGGTGAAGATGAAAATGTCCCTGAATTTATTCGCCGCCAAAGACGTATCCAGGAGCGACTGGCCAAGGAGAACTTGGACTTTGAAAACAGACGTAGTGGCTATTTTACTCAGGTTTTAATTTCTCCCTCTTCGCCCAATCGCAAATCCTTTGTCGAGACAATGTCCAGCCCGGCTGTGGTGCCAAGTTTGGAAATACCACCACCCGCGGCTCAACCTGAGAAAATTGTGGAGGAAACTCATGAGGAGAAACAGGCTGAGGAAAGGGTATTGCAGGAAATTGCTAAGGAAATTGTGGAGGAACCCAAGGAAGTAGAGGAGTCAAAACCTATGACGGAAAATGGCCATGACGAAGAGGTGAACAAGGCAATTGAGGAGGTCAACAAGGCTGTGGCCGGGGAAGATGATGAAAAACCCGAAGAGGAACCACAAAGTGAGGAGCATCCAGTCCAGCAGGCTGTGGTCACCTCGGCCTTGGTGGAGGATAACCAGCCCGAAAGTGTAGTTGCTGTGGTGACATCTGCCCCGGAGGTAGAAGAAACCCCAGCCCAAGAAACTGAGGCTCCCGTCCAAGCCGTGGTAACCTCCGCCTTGGTGGTAGAGGAGGAAGAACAAAAGCCCCAGGAAAATGGCCATACTGAACCAGCAAAAGTAGAGGAGGAACACAAACCCCAAGAAAATGGCCACGTTGAAGCTGTAGTCGTCACATCAACCCCCCTCGCCGAGGAAGAACCCAAAACCAATGGCCATGTCGAAGAGAATGGCAATGGAATCACAATTTCCCACACCAATGCCTTGGCCACACCCAGCCTACCTTCACCCGATCCCAGCGGTGAAAAGGGTGTGAACTTTGAACCCAAAACTGTGGTTTCCTTTTCACGGGAACTGGGAGAAGTTAATAAATATCCCGACACAGTAAAGGTCGTAAAGGAAGGCGGTGAGGCACCCCAGGTTGATGATGACCTCAAAGAATTGGCCAAATTGAAATTTGAAATTAAGGCTGATGACAAGGATATTGAAGTGACACCAGTACTGAAAGTGGAGTAAAACAAGCAATTTCACACACACACACACATTTTCCAGTAGCTTTAGAAATAGAACGACAACAACCAACAAATCTACCAGTTAAGATATGGAGATTGAGGGCAATTTATCTGCCATGGCCATTCTGAAGACTAGATTTTGTAAAATTTCTTCATAAATTCCACAAGAATAAGCCATAATGGACTCTCTTTCGTTGAGGGTCATAATAAATTGTAATTAATCTCTGAAAACAAGGCAAGACTCTTCCCAAACGAAGAACTCTCTTTGCATGTAACAGTTATGGTTCCTTTCTCTTTTTCTCTTTCATTTTAAGCTACCGTTGTTTGTGAGGGGATCTCTTTTCAAATTCCCCTACAAATAATGTGAGCATCTCTTTATTCAAGTCATTTTCCTTCAAGAGAGGAAGAGAGAGAGCGCGCCTTAAACCTAACTAAAGAGAGGTGGATTTTGCCTTTTTTGCTATATTAGTTTATAAATTCTTGAAAAAAAAAAAAAAAAACAACCAACATTTCTTATATCATAAATTAAATATCCTTATTATTGTTTATTCACCCATAAACAAAATGGCATTATAGCGGTAATATGTTCATATATATGTATTTTTAAGTTAAATAAACTGTAAAATTATTTTTCAAGAAAAAATGTGGTGGAGAGAAAAACGAGCATCCACTTTACATTCTTATATTATATCTAAAGAGAATACCGAGTGGGAGAATGGAGGAACAACTGTCTCTCTTTCATTCCCTGAAGTATTTCTGTAGTCGATTGTTTTATTATATATTATTATAATTATTAAAATGTGTATTTTTTTTGTTTAGTTTTTAAGTTTTAATTGTTGCCAAATTTTAAATTATAATATAAATTTATTATTTAAATAAATAAAATTATAAGAAAAAAGACAAAAAAAAACGGAGAGCATTTTTATTTTGGAAACGACTAAAGGGGAAAAGAGCGAAAACTGATGTTTTCCACAGGAAAATGGATGTTTCTCTAGGAAAATTAATATTTTCCATGGAAAAATTTTTGTTTCCATGGGGAAATTTTTGTTTTCTATAAAAAAAAAATAATTTTCGTAAAAATGCAAAAATTATGTTTTCCAAAGATAAATTATAATTTTCATAAAAAACTGATGATTTCCACTGGAAAACTAAAGCCTTTTCATAGGAAAACTTATGTTTTTCATAGCAAAATTTATATTTTTCAAACTAAAACTAATGTTTTCCATGAGGTTTCCATAGTTTTCCAAAGGAAAACTGAGATTTTTAATAGGAAATCTAAAGTTTTCCTTAGAAAATCTGATGTTTTCCAAAGTAAAATTGATGTTTTCCATAGGAAAATTGAAGTTTTCCATAGTAAAACTGGTGCTTTCATAGGAAAAATGGTGTTTTTCATAGGAAAATTAATGTTTTTGATAAGAAAACTTATGTTTTTCTAAGGAAATTGATATTTTCCATTGGAAAACTGATGTTTTCCATAGGGAAATTGATGTTTCCATAGAAAAACTGATGTTTTCCTTATATAAACTGATGTTTTCCATGTAAAAACTAATATTTTTCATAGGAAAACTGATGATTTCGGTGGGAAAATTATGGTTTTCCTTGGAAAAACTGAAGTTTTCCACAGAAAAAAATTTGATTTTTGCCATAGGGAAATAAAAAAGCTGGTATTTCCCATGGAAAACTGGTGCTTTACATAGGAAAATGAATGTTTTCAATAGGAAAATTGATGTTTTACATGGGAAAAATGGTGTTTTCCATGTGAAAAAGATGTTTTCCATAGAAAAATTTATGTTTTACATGGAAAAAGTGGGGTTTTCCATTGGAAAAAAATATGTTTTCCATAGGAAAATTGAAGTTTTTTCCATGGAAAATTTGGTGCTCCTGGAGAAAAACCTGGATTTCGATAAGAAAACTGGAAATATCCATTGGAAAATTGGGTGTTTCTGTGGGAAACTTGGGAGTTTCCAGGGGGTTTCCATGGGAAAACAAAGGTTTTCTATGGGAAAACTGGGGTTTTCAATGGGAAAACTGTGATTTTCAATGGGAAAACTGGGGTTTTTAATGGGAAAACTTCAATGAGAAAACTCTGGTTTGTATCGGAAAAATGGAGTTTTCCATAAGAAAAATGGGGTTTTCAGGGGAAAACTCCGACATGAAAATGGAGTTTCTACTGGAAAACTGGATTTCTGATATGAAAATGGGGGAAATGAAAAATACAATGGAAAAACTTCGGTTTGTATAGGAAAACTGGAATTTCCCATAAGAAAATGTGGGGTTTCTAGTGGAAAACTGGATTTTCCATATTAAAACTGGGATTTCCCTTATGAAAACTGTTGATGTCCATAGGCAAACTGGGCTTTTTCGTGGAAAAACAGGATTTTCGATGGGAAAACCTGGGGGTTTCCATGGAAAAAACTGGGAAAACTGGCATTTCCCATAAAAAATACCGAGGTTTAAGTTGGTAAATTGGGGTCGCTAGGGAGAATGTGGGGTTTTCTATGGAAAAACTGAAGGTTTCCAATGGAAAACTTCATTTTAGACCATTTGAATGGGATTTCCCATGGGAAAACTTAAACTCTTCTATCTCTTAAATACCTTTTCATGGTCTCTTATTATATAACAATTTTGCCAATTTTTATTTAAAAAAAATATATTTTACACTTGTCACAATAATAATTATAATGGCTGGCTCTTATCACTTCATAGATTATTAGTCGTCTAATAAAAGTTAATAAATAATTACAGTCTCGTGGTTTTATTGGCTGATTAAATACCTATTTTGTTTGTTGTTCTTGTATTAACCACGGAGTGAGAGAGAGAGAGGGCAATGAAGAGAAACAGGGAAGAGAGGAGCAGTAATTAACCACACCTAATGCACATGTTGCCGCATGTAAGACGTCCTATAATAAACAATTAATAAAATAACAATAACAACGACAAATAATTATTTATATTTTTAAATACTTCATTCACCCTCCAGACATTTGTCATAGTAGTTTGATATCTGACATTCAAACTATTGATGGTACTTTCCAAATTGGAAAAAAAAGCCCCAGAGAAAACGAATTAATCAAAAATAAAGTTTAGAACCATGAAATGGGTTAAAGGGTGAGTAAGTGAGCTCATGGGACTGTGATATGTCATGTTTTTTTTGGGAGCGGAAAAAATAGTTTTGATAAAAACCCATAAAAATAAAAAATTCTTAATTGTCAAAGGTGTGACTTTTTTAATTCAAGCACTTTTTTCTGGTTTCCAAAAAAAAAAAAAAAAAATACCCGAAAATTTAGATTTTGATAAGAAACAAGTATTGAATGTCTCTTCAATGCGATTGCTGCCACTGACATTGACAGTGATTTCTTGTCTAAATGTTAGGTTTTTGCTGACCAATCGATTGCCTTTCATTTGAAAACCCCCCCAAACTAAGGTTAATGGGTTCGCATGGTCTTGGTCACGGCTTGTTATCACAAAAATATAGTTTATTTTTTCAATGGTATTTTTTTTCTAACAATTTTTGCTAATCTTTTTTACCACCATAAAGCCTCCCAAAATTTATTATTTAGTGTTTATTTTTTATTTATTGGGCATTTTAGTTTTTGTTTCGCCGTGTTTTTATTCAAGAATACAATTTAAGGTTATTTCGACGACTATAGAAAACCCAACTTCTCGTCTTGTTGCTTGGCTGGAGGTCAAAACGAGCAACAAGACGACGTCTAAACAGCGTTTGTTTTTTGATTGATTATCATTGTTGGACGCTACAAAAACAACAAGAATAATAAAAAAACTTACTTTGTTACTTTTTTTTGGAGAGGTGTGGCGGATTTTAATATTTTGTTCGTTTTTGTGTGATTCTAGCAAAAATTTAGTTTTTATTTTTATTGTTAATAAATTTTGAAAATGGATTTTGAATTGCATTTGGGATTAAAGTGTGAAGCATGAAACATTGTTGGGGGGATGGAAAATAAGGTTAACTTTTTTTTCAAAACAAATTAAATGCTAGAAGTGCATAATCCAATGTTTTATTTTAAAGACAAAGGTCACAGTTGGGCGACCTCCCTTCACTTAAATGACAATTTTTTTTTATAAATTTTGGGTAAAAATTAATGGAAATTTTTTTATAAAACTGATGTAAAAAATATTGTGAAAAAATAAAAATAAAAACATATAAGCCGAACTTTTAATACCATCCGCCATTTTTAAACAACTTGAAAATTAAAAAAAAAATCCGTCAAAAAAGTCCTATAAAAGAGAAACCCCTTATAGTGGGAGGGGGTATATACGAAGCTGTGGTCCTTCATAAGTGATTTTTTGTCTTAGGTTGTAGTACCGATTCCGAACTTCAAAAACTAAATTTGCAACAATTCCGTTGAAAAATGCCGCTAAATTACCAAAATACCGAATATCGGGAGGTATTGTTATATGGGGGCTATACGAAGATGTGGACCTGCATACGAATTTTTTGGGCATAAGCTGTAGTACCCATTACGAACTTCAAAAACGAAATTTGCAACAATTCCGGTTAATAATACCCCTAAAATCACCAAAATACCGAATATCGGGAGGTATCGTTATATGGGGGCTATACGAAGACGTGGACCCAGATACGCCATTTTTTGTCATAGGTTGTAGTACTAATTACGAACTTCAAATACGAAATTTGAAACAATTCCGGTGAAAAATGCCGCGAAAATCATCAAAATACCGAATATCGGGAGGTATCGTTATATGGTGGCTATACGAAGACGTGAACCTGCATATGCGATTTTTTGTCATAGGCTGTAGTACCCATTACGAAGTTCAACTACGGAATTTGAAAAAATTCCGTTGAAAAATGTCGCTAAAATCATCCAAATACCGAATATTGGGCGGAACTGTTATATGGTGGCTATACGAAGACGTGGACCTGCATAAACAAGTTTTTGTCATGGGCTGTAGTACCGATTTCGAACTTCAAAAACGAAATTTGAAACAATTCCGTTGAATAATTTCTGTAAGATCATCCAAATACCGAATGTAGGGAGGTATCGTTATATGGCTATACGAAGACGTGAACCTGCATATGCGATTTTTTGTCATAGGCTGTAGTACCCATTACGAAGTTCAACTACGAAATTTGACACAATTTCGGTGAATAATGTCGCTAAAATCATCAAAATACCGAATATTGGGCGGTATAGTTATAAGGGGGCCATACGAAGACGTGGACCTACACGAACAATTTTTTATTATAGGCTCTAGCATCCGTTACGAACTTCAAATACGAAATTTGAAACAATTCCGTTGACTAATGTCGCTAAAATCATCAAAATTTCGAATATCGGGAGGTATCGTTCTATGGGGGCTATACGAAGACGTGGTCCTTCATACGAAATTTTTAGGCATAAGCTGTAGTACCCCTTACAAGCTTCGAATAAGAAATTTGAAATACTTTGGGTGAATGATGTCGCTAAAATCATCAAAATACCGAATATCGGGAGGTACCGTTATATGGGGGCTATATGATAACATAGACCTACATGGCCCATTTACGAACTTAACCTGCCTACTGGGAAAAAATACATGTGTGCAAAATTTTAGCCTCCTATCTCAATTTGTTCGAAAGATAGCGTGATTACAACAGACAGACAGACAGACGGACAGACAGACAGACAGACACACAGACAGACAGACGGACATGGCTAAATCGTCTTAGAATTTTACGCTGATCAAAAATATATATACTTTGTTGGGTCTGACATGAATATTTCGAGGAGTTACAAACGGAATGACAAAATTAATATACCCTCCATAGTATGGTGGAGGGTATAAAAAAAATGGCGACAGGGACGCTGTTTTAAAATTTAAAAAAATTTATTTTAAAATTCAGAAAAATTAAATAATTGGATTTATCTAAGGTTTTCTAATCTTTTCTGTATCATGTCAATGCTTCCGTGGTCTGGCAAGTTACTCACAAAATAAAATATTCGCTATGGCCCATAACCCATAGCAACAATGCTGGCAACTTACATTTTCATTCATAATTTTACTGATATTGGTCGAAAACTCAAAAAATGAGTTAGAGAAGTCCACTACAGCAGTCATTTATTTCGACACAAAGAATGGTAAATAACGTCTCAATATTTGACATATGAAAGTCTACTTTTGCACCGACACCCAAATTACAGATTTTTCAAAGATTCCTTATTTATTAGTCGAATAATCAACGGAATTGGCAGTCTGTTTATTCCGTTTTATCTAAACATATTCGTTGTAAATAGGGCTTTATGCTGTTCACATTCTCGTTTTATTTCTTTTTTTCTACTAGCGCCATCTAATCTTTATACCACACACTACAAGGCTAATACTTCATGAAGTAATGTAGGAAAGCTTATTGTATGGCAATTGCTGTTTATTTATTAAACAAAAACCACGGCATGCTTTTAGGCGCTTTATGATAACTACTCGAATGGTTAGGGTTATTAAATGGTGGTATACTATGAAGTATTTAATGTACAACACAAATAATATAAAATATAGAGATTGTATATAATATAGACTCTTTATATATATTAGATTTGATGTATAAAAAGTTGGAATCGGCTAGGGCGGAAATTTTGAAATTTGACGTGCAAATAGTTTTTAATTGATTGGTGGGATATAAGTCGTTTTTTTTTGGAAATCCGTACTAAAAGGTACTAGAACTAAGTTTTTGGGCTAAAACTCTATATTTTAGGGCTTGAATATTCAAATTAAGCATATGGATCACTAATAATACCTGTAAAAAACTAAAATTTTCGCGCTGAATATAAGTTAGAATTCACAAATATGAGATACAGATTAGTAGATGTTTTTGCAAATGATGATTTGGAAAATGTCCAGCAAATCGGAGTTTTCATTAGATTTCTTTGAAAATTTTCAATGAAATTGTCTGAAAAGCCACAAAAGGGGTCCCTTCTGATTTCTTTAACCCCTGGAAGTATTGTCTATATAGGTTCACGATATCCTATATCTCCCATATAACGGTACCTCAATATATTCGATATGTTGATGATTTTTTTAGCTATATTTTCAATGGAATTGTCTAGAAATCCATGCTATACCCCCTGGAATAGAAAAGTCTAGTCTAGTTCCACGATATCGTATAGCCCATATACATATAACGGTACCCATCGATATTCCATATTTTGACGAATTTAGGGACATTATTCACCGATATGGTTTGAAATTTCGAATTTGAAGTTCCTAATAGTTAATAGGTCATCGTATAGCCCCGATATCACGGTACGTCCCCATATTCGGTATTTTGATGATTTTAGCTACATTATTCAGCGGATTTTTTTCAAGTTTCGTATTTGAATATAGCAATGGCTTATGGCAAAAGTTGCCTTTGCAGGTCCACCTCTTCGTATAGACCCTAATATAACGGCTATATTCAGTATTTTTAAGATTTTAACAGAATTTTTAACGTTTTTTTTTTAATTTTCAATTTTTTTTTGCAAATTGCGGAGGCCGACCGAACTTACTGCTTTTTTACTTGTTGATACTAAAAAGTATAAGCTGTTTACTAAATACGAAGGAGTAGACATACAATTTTTTAAACCTAGCACGAGGTCACTTCTGGCGTGAAGAAAGCATAAATTGTACTTTGTGCCGGAACATTTGTACTAAATAGTATTTAAAACTAAAATGAGCTAGAAATGTAATTCCGATTCTATGTAGATTTTAGAAAGTCTCTTCTTTGGAGTTAGAATATTGACATCTCGAACTTTTGCCACATATTTGGTTTCATTCGGTTTCATTGGCCGTTTGAAGGCCATAATTCGTGCCAAAGGTGACCAATTCGAACAAATCTAAAATTATTTTAAAATTTGATGCTATTTCCGACATTTTTTGCTTTCATTCAATAAAATTTCAAAAAAAAAAAAAAAAAAAAAAATATGTAAAAATTATGTCGTTTGACTTTATTGCAGTTTTTTTTATTTCACTCTGTAGTCTATATTTGGCACATTGTAAAATGTATATTATCATTAGGTCAAATACGAATTGGTCACTATTGGCCAATTGCTTCGGAACCTCCCCCATTTAAGGGTCAACTCTTTAAATAATCATAACTCAAGGCTGGGGGTATACATCTGTCGGCAAAACCGACTGATACTCTTTTACTTGTTTTTGAGAAATTTGATCTAAAATGTACTAAATCCAGTACCTTTTTGGAAATTTGCACTTAAAACGTACTATGTATCGTACGGCTAGAGCAGGAATTCTGAAATTCTGTATTTTACTTTGACTTTGACAAAAAAAAAAAAAAAAAAAAAATTGTTCCGCGAAATTTTCTAAAGTGGTACCACAAGCATAACTAAAGGCTAAGGAATTGGGACGGAATTCTAAAATTTTGGAGAAAGGGTAATTTTTTGGGAATTTGTAGTAAAGGCTTGTAAAAGATACTTCCTTTGCTTTCTATATTTAATTATTTGAAACGGGAGTAATTTCAAATTTCGGAAGTATTTTCAAATATTTGTATTCTACAATGGTGAGAGGAATAATAGCTTGGCTTGGTCAAACTTAAAACCTTTTTTGACAAAATTTCCACTTAACTTTTACTTAGCATAATTTTTTTTTCGGCCACTCAGTTTCAGGAATAATATTCAACTGCTGAAATTCCCATCCCTGCCATTAGCTTCATTCATTCAATCATTTTTTTTTGTCTTCCAACATTTAATAAATCATTGAAAAAAAAAATTTTCTATTTCCCCAAACATTTTTCATAAAAATATATTTTTTTCTCCAAAAATAAATCCCAAAAAAAAAAAAATGTCCCAAAATGTTTATTTCCCATCTCCATTTGTCATGCAACAAGTGTTGACGGCATGGAATGTGGCATTTCTACTCCCTGCAACTCATACCTCATGTTCGAAGCCAACATGTTGCATTAGCGTGTTTTCATGATTCTGTTTCGTTAAGTTTTTTTTTGTTACCATTCTGGTTTTTTTGTTATTGTTATTACTGTCCCAGCATGGCGGTTTGAGTTGTGTGTGTGGTTGATTGTTCGTTGCCTGAACTCAACGAAACAGTGCTGCCCATTTTACACCAAACGTTCAGTGGATTTTGGTAAGTTCGACATTTAACAAATCTTTGCTAGCATTTCAATGTTAAATGTGTTTACGTCGTGAACGGTTGTGTGTCGAATAACCAGCGAAGAAAAGAAAATTTTTAAATTTTCCTCTAAGAAAAAAAGTAAAGAGAAAATAATTGAAAATATTTATTGAAACATAATTGATGATGAAAATAAATTGAGAGTGTGCGATAAAAGAAAAAAACAAACAAATTAAATTAAATTGGATATTTTAAAATCGAAGAGAAAAAATTATTAAATTTTATATTTTTTTAAATATAATTTCAGTAAGCAAACGAGTTCAGCTCTGCAAAAAATATATATTTTAATTCATTAAATTAAAGAATCTCAAAAACTACCAACAAAACCAAAATGTTCAGCTCATTCACAGGTAAACAAAATTTATTTTTAATTATTTTTTTTATAAATATATAATATAAATATATATTTATATATATACTCATATAAAGAGGAAAAAACAGAAACATATGTCAAACATTAAGAATTATTTAATTTGGAAACAAAAACAAAAAAGTATTTTGCGGCAAGCAAAATTTATGACATAAAACAACACGAATTCTAGAAAAAGAATTGAAAATGACGAAATCATTGCGAATTTTAAAACACATTTTTATGGAATTTTTTAATTAAAAAATTATGAAATTCACCAAAAAAGGAAAAAAAATAATAATTGAAAATTATTAAATCGTTTTTTACATTTTTTAATTAAAAATTATGATTTTTCAAAAAAAAAAAAAATTAAAATTATTAAATCATTATTTTTTTCACATTTTTTAATTAAAAAATTACGTTTAAAAAAAAATGAAATTGATTTTTTCAAACACCACCATATTTTAAATCAATTTTTAATTCACCAAAAAAAAAAAAAATAAATAAATAAATAAATATTTATTTTTAATTACAAATTATGATTTTTCACAACAAAAAAAAATTTATTTATTTATATTTTTTTTTGGTGAATTGAAAATTGATTTAAAATATTGTGGTGATTGAAAAAATCAATTTCATTTTTTTTAAATCGTAATTTTTTAATTAAAAATGTGAAAAAAATAATGATTTAATTATTTCCATTTTTTTGTGAAAAATCATCATTTTTAATTAAAAAATGTAAAAAAAAAACGATTTAATAATTTTCAATTATTATTGAAATTTATTAAATTGAAAATTATTAAATCATTTATTTTGCATTTTTTAATTAAAAATTATGATTTTTCGAAAAAAAATTAAAATTATTAAATCATTATTTTTTTACATTTTTTAATTAAAAAATTAAGATTTTTCAAAAAAAAATTGAAATTGATTTTCTTTCAATCACCACCACATGTTGGCCATAAGCATTTCCCCGATTCGAAATCAAAATAAGTGGTTCATTATATTTTTCAATCTCAGCATTTCATTTTCATCTCTCCTTCATTTGATTCCGAAAAAAAGGGGGGTCATGTTAGTCATCAACATCATCAGAAATCGGCCACCCTCCAATTACCTAATAAGAGTCATATTTTTCTCCACCATCATCATCAGCTTGGCCATGTATCCTTTGTGTCGTTTTATTGGTGGCACATTTTCCACACATTTCACACACACACACACACAGACACATAGACAAGGAAACGGTAAGGCACACACACACAAAGGATAAAATTGTTGTTTTTTTTAACACCGACTGACTTCCAAGGATATCCTTATTGCTCATAGCCACCGTCGAGCCATTGAGTCAACAACAATAACAACGGCGCCACTAACTGACTGACTGACTTGCTGGCTGACTGAGTAACCCAACAACAATGATGAAAGATTAGGTCATCAATTGATAAATGAACTGAAAGACAAAAACAAATGAGAGCACTAACAGCAATAACTTGAGGATTATAACAACGGCAACAACAACAATAAGACATCAAAGTTATCCCATAGATCATCACTCGTACAGTGGCACAGTGGGTGGAGAAATGGAAAACGGAGAATTGAAAAATTGTAGAATCGCCACAGAGGAGCTTCATTGGGTTATCTTTGACCCCAAGAACTTTTTGGAGAAACGGAAAAAGAGAATTGGAAATAATGAGCCTTCACTAAAGACCTTCAGTAGACCAGAAGACCTTTTCCTGGTCTTCATGGGTCTTAGAAGAATGATAGAAATGGAAAACGGAGAATTGAAAAATTTTAGAATTGCCAAAGAGAAACTTCAATGGGTTATATTTGACCCCAAGAACTTTTAGAAGAAACGGAAAAAGAGAATCAAAAATGATGAACCTTCACTAAAGACCTTCATTAGACCAGAAGACCTTTTTCTGGTCTTCATGGATCTTAGAAAAAAAATAGAAACGGAAAAAGAGAATCAAAAATGAGGAGCTTACACTAAAGACCTCAAGTAGATCAGAAGACATTTTAGTGGTCTTCATGGGTCTTAGAAGAAAAAAGAGAATCGGAAAAAGAGAATTAGAAATGAGGACCGGTCACTGAAGACCTTTCAGTAGACAAGAAGACCTTTTAGGGTTCTTCATGGGTCTTAGAAGAAAAATAGAAACGGGAAAGAGAGAATTAAAAATGAAAACCGGTCACTGAAGTCCTTCAGTAGACCAGAAGACTTTTTAGGGGTCTTCATGGGTCTTAGAAGAAAAAATAGAAACGAAAAAAGAGAATTGGAAATGATGAGCCCTCACTAAAGACCTTCAGTACACCAGAAGACTTTTTAGGGGTCTTCATGGTTCATAGAAGAAAAAAAAAAAAAGAAACGGAAAAAGAGAATTAGAAATGAAGACCGGTCACTGAAGTCTTTCAGTAGCTTTTCTGTGATCAGTAGACCTTTTAGTGGTCTTCATGGGCCAGAAAAAAATTACAGGCCCCCAAAGGCTATACATCTTTCCACTTTCTTTGAAAGTTAATCCCCGCATCACCTGCGGGACCAAACTCAACCGTCCCTCTTCGACTTCTCAAACAAAACACACCAGCCACCGATACTCGAACCAACGTTTTGCTGTTCAAATAGTTTCATTTCCATCACCAGGAGGTCTTCATTGATCAGAAACAAATGTTTACAGATCTTCTTGGGCTAGAGAAATGTTTAGGTTCATCGGAATTGTATCCCCGAATTGCCTCCATCCCATCTTCAGTATTCAAATTGAATACTCCAGCTACCTAAGGTCAGACTCACGTTTTGCTTTTTCAATCAGCTTTACAACCTCCACCAGGAGGTCTTTGTGGGTCAGAAAAATAACTTTTGCAGGTTTTCTATGTCCAAACACATCAGCTACCGATACTCAAACCAACGGGTTTCTGTTCAAATAGTTTCACCTCTATTTCCAAAAATCTTCTTTGGTTGAACAAATTTTCAGGTTCAACGGAATTGTATCCCCGAATTGTCTTCATTCCCCTTACAGTTTTCAGATTGAATATTGTAGGTACTTAAGTTGAGACCCACATTTTGCTTTTTAACTTATTTAAGTTCCGCCACCAAGAGAAGGTAAATTAATATGGTGGCGCCCAACGCACGCGTGACAGAGGCCATTTACTCCTTCTATAAAAAATCCATCAAATCCTCATTATCACGGTGACCTCCTTCTACATTGCAGCACCCAGTTAGAAATATCGGACATTTCCGTCGATCAGCAATCAGTGAAAATCGCTAATGCATCTCTCAGATCATTCGATAGTTAACTTTGGGAATTTGATAACCTTTCTTTGTAATCATATGACCCTAAATGGTTTCCATAAAGATCTATCAATAGACGCCACCTTTTGCCTCTTATAGATGCTTACCCTGCCCCACCTCCAAAACAGATGCCGCGGATGGATGGAAGGTATTTGATTAAGTCGAGTTCTTAGCTGCTTTTCAGTCGACTTCATTATCTTCACCACCATGGGTAAGATGAGGGATTCGGTCTTCCTGGAGGCTGCAAAGGAGTCAACATCATCATAGGCAGACCACTTTTGCGTTCGCTCCCACTGGCTCTATTGAGGCAGATTTAATCCCACTCTTCAGCTGATTAACCTGTATTATTGGCATTTGAATAAGGTTTAAGGTTTCTTTAGGTCCATATATGTATGAGATTACAATCTAGCCGATGCTTCATTAATCGGAGGATAGTTTCATTGATTTTGACGTCATCAAAGGCCTGTGAATGTTGCTTCGAGATCGTATTCGGGGAAATTGCATTTACAGGTGAATGCGTTTCTGATAAGTTGTAATTTCTTATGTGAAGTTTTTTTTCTAGGGAAAATGTATCACTCTTCTCATTATAAAGTGAGAGAGAAATCATCAGGATTTCCTAACAGTGGGAGTTTCGACAAAAGTCCCAGTTGAGTGATTTTAGAAGGATATCCTAAGAATATGTTTTGTCTCAGCTCTGACATCGTCGGAGAACATCGACATCGTCGGATATATCGCAAGGAGTCAAAAGTGTTATACAAATTACAATTCTACTTATCTTTTTTACGGCCGAATAAGCTGTAGTTCCCCATGAGTGATTTTGGAAGGAAGGACCTCTTAAGTATATTTTTTGTTTCAGATTTGACGTCGCCGGCATCGTAAGGTGTCACAAATGTTTTACATATGACAATTCTTCCTATCGGAAGTTGCCGTAATGATGTATTGGAATGGTTCCCAACTTCCTCACAAATTTGAGTGTGCAGTTTGCGCCATATTAAAATTTTAACGTCTAAACGAAATATATTAAATTTACTTTCATCAGAGAATAAATCATTAATTCAAAAGACTTTTTGTTGTTCTTATATGGACATACCCCAATATGATTTTTTGGTTAAAGTCGTTTATGTGAGGTGTTCTTCTAGCGATTCTCGCTCTGTCCTGCGAATTGTTATTGTATGAATTTCTTTGCCATATTCCTTGTTTTAACTTCTGCAGCAACTTAAGTTGAAGTCATTTTTGGATTCTTTTTAATTTTTCTGACAATTTGAGACTCTTCTCTTGCACTGAGCATGTGAGTGGTCGCCCACTTTTTCACAATTTCAGCAGAAGATTAGCTCTGATGGCGGTGGTGTAAAATTATTTTATACCCTTCTTCTGTAGTATCCTTGGTTTTTCTGTTTGGAATTTTTCTCTTACAAATACCAATTTCCCATTTTTCTCTCTTTACCCACTGTGCCTCTCGAAGCTGGGGGAGGAGGAGTGTAACGTCATTCAAATGATTTTCTTCTTATGCTCCTTCACCTCCCCCCATGAAATTGATAAGTGGGACAAAGCCAACACACAATTGTCTAGCCGTATCTGCATACATACCCATTTGACCTTTTGTTAAAAGCATTGAAAGGAAAACAAAAACTATCAAAAACTTTCTAAAAATGTTAAAAAGAAAATTGATTAATTTTCATCTCTTCAAATTTCCTCAATGTTTCTTCTCCAAAGATATTTAT